TCTCCTGCGCGCCGGGCTGGCGTGGTTCCGCGCTGCCGCCAGGGGGCGCTCGTGCGCAGCAGGCGAAGCTCTCGGGAGCGCGTGCTCAGGGAGCGTGCGCTGCGGAGTGGGGTCTCGGGGCCGGGCGCGCTCCTCGCCAGCGGGATGACCTCTGCCAAGTGGCACCGATTAGGGGTGCACAGAAAAGTGCAGACGCGTCCCCGCCGTCGGGTGCCCTCCAAGCTGTAGCTCTCCAGGGAACCCTCTTCGTTATTTACTTGTTTATTTATTTGCCTCTCCTGTCGCTGTCTGCCCCAAATAGAGTGAAGGGGCTCCCGTTCGACACTACGGGGCTCACTGAACGCGCCGCTGAATCGCTGGCTTCAGGAATGACCCTCTCTAAGAGACCTGCAGAGGAGCCTCGGGCCCCCCAGAACCACCTTGCCTCCCAGCTCCACCGATGACGTCATGCACGCGCACCCCCACCTGGAGGGAACCGAAAGGGAGGCACAGGCTGGGGTGGGGGGAACCACAGACCTTGTGAAGTTCCCTTCCCCCTCCAGCACCGCTCCCTGCCTCTTTCCTTAATCCAGTAATTAATTATGTAATTATTTCTCCCATTGTCTCCTCTGCTTGTCGGTGGGCTCCAGCTGGCCGGGTTATGTCTTGTTTGCTATATCCAAACAGTAGGTGGTCAGTAAATACACCCTAGCCCTAATCATCATCATCCTGCCTCCCCCCTCAAATCCCAACAGTTTGACCTAAGGGCTCCAGGGTTTGTTTGTTTTTGAAGCAGATTCTCTTGTAGTCTAGGAAGGCTTCTGGAACTCACCATGCCATGTGGACCGGGATGATTTTGAGCTTCTGATCCTGCTTCTTTATACCAGCTATGGTGTTTCAGGCTGTGTTACCATACCCATCTGTAACGAGAAGTCTCTGATGCGGCTATTACACTATCATTCTATAAAACTGCTAGAAGAAAACAAGAGGAAATCGTGGATAGGCAGAGTTTCTACTTTTTTACTTTTTTGTTTTTGGAGACAGGCTTTCTCTGTGTAACAGTCCTGGCTGTCCTGGAATTCACTTTGTAGACCAGGCTGACCTCTGCCTCCCAGTGCTGGGATTAAAGGCATGTGCCACCACCTCCCGGGGCTCACTCTTTATCTTTATTTTGTGTGAGCATGTGCCTTCATGTTTGTGTGTGCATCCTATAAGTGCAGTGCCTGGGGAGGCCAGAAGAGGGCGTGGGATCCCCTTGAACAGAAGTTACAGACCTTTGTGGGTCATTGTGAGGGTGCTGGGAACCAAACTCAGTCCACTGCAAGAGCAACAAGTTCTCCTCACTGCAGACTCATTCATTTCTCCAGCTCTTTTGTTGTATGTCAAGGCCTCCCGATGTAGTCAGGCTGTGACCTCAAACTCACTATGTAGCCCACACTCAGTTCAAACTTGGGGTAATCTCATGTGCTGAGATCTCGGACACAAGCTACCACATCTAGCAAAGCATTTTCTCAGAAGCACAAAGCTGTGTGTGGCCAGGAGGGTTCCTGGGCTGAGCAGCCAACCCGTACTTACTAAATGTTCTTCAAGGTGGTTGAAACATCCTCCCTCTTGTCTGTATTGACCTCATCCCGAGTTCTGTGCCCGAGTTCGAGGCCACTATGTAGATGAACACAATTCACAAGGGGGAGCAGTTTCACCATCAACAGTTTGCCAGATAATCAATCCTGCCTACCTCGGTAATCTAGCTGAAGTGAATGCAGGTTCTCTCTCTCTCTCTCTCTCTCTCTCTCTCTCTCTCTCTCTCTCTCTCTCTCTCATTTATTTATTATATATACAGTGTTCTGCTTGTGCATATCCCTTCAAGCCAGAAGAAGGAGCCAGGTCTCATTACAGATGGTTGTGAGCCACCATGTGGTTGCTGGGAATTGAACTCAGGACCTTTGGAAGAGCAAGCAGTGCTCTTAACCACTGAGCCATCTCTCCAGCCTCCTCTTCCAGAGGTTCTGAGTTCAATTCCCAGCAACCACATGGTGGCTCACAACCATCTGTAATGAGATCTGGTGCCCTCTTCTGGTCTGCGGGGATATGTGCACTGTATACATAATAAATAAATTAATTTAAAAAAAAAAAAGAACCTCTGGAAGAACAGCCAGTGCTTTTAACCTCTGAGCTAGGTTCTCTTATCTTAGTCTAATCTTTTGTGTGTGTGTGTGGGTTTTTCCAGACAGGGTTTCTCTGTAGCTTTGGAGCCTGTCCTGGATCTCACTCTGTAGACCAGGCTGGCCTCGAACTCACAGAGATCCACCTGGCTCTGCCTCCCGAGTGCTGGGATTACAGGCATGCGCCACCACCGCCCAGCTCTTATTCTAATCTTTTTTTTTTTTTTTTTTTTTTTTTTTTTGGTTTTTTCGAGACAGGGTTTCTCTGTGCAGCTTTGCGCCTTTCCTGGGACTCACTTGGTAGCCCAGGCTGGCCTCGAACTCACAGAGATCCGCCTGGCTCTGCCTCCCAAGTGCTGGGATTAAAGGCGTGCGCCACCACCGCCCGGCTAATTCTAATCTTAATTACTAAAATTAACTTTCTTGTCACACATCACACGGTAAATCAGTGGATTAATCTAGCTGCATATATGTAGTTTATGGAATGAGTACAGAGTTTAAAAGGCTACTGCATCGTGGACGTTGACAAGGTTTCAGAAGTGGACCGACAGAAATGCACATAGAATCCGCCTTAATCAGATAAGGAACCCAACCAGCCTCGGAGAAGAGGGTATTGCTGTAGAGTTCACTGAGAGTGGAGATGTAGCCAGAGCTAGGGGGTGCCAGGACAAGCCTGGGGGAACAGCTCCAGACCTCCAGGGAGGTCTACAGGCACAGCAGTCAGCCGTGCCCACAGCAAGGGACTGCGCTGAGCTTGAAGCCCAGGAACAGCTATTCCGCTTATTTTTAATTAAAGCTTTTTGAACACTTTATTTATTCTTTTTATGTGTATGGGTGTTTTGACTGCATGTCTGTCTGTGCACCCCATATGGCAGTGCCCATGGAGGCCAGATGAGGGCATCAGGTTCACTGGGACTCAAATTACAGGCCACTGTGAGCCACTGTGAGCCACTGTGTGGGTGCTGGGAATCCACCCGAGTCCCCTGGAGGAGTCGCCAGTGCTCTTAACTACTGAGCTACCTCTCAAAACCCTATTTTTAATTTATTGTTATTATATTCATTGTGTATGTATAAATCAGTAGGCAACTTGTGAGAGTTCTTTCCTCCCATTAAGTGAGTTCTAAAGATTGAATTCAGGTCATCAGGCTTGGAAAGTGCCTCATATTTTTATTTGCCAGCCCTCATATTTATTTATTTATTTATTTATTTATTTATTTATTTATTTATTTATTTATTTATTTATTTTTGAAAGTTGCACAAATAATTAATGGGAGTACCTTCATTTTGTTTTGTGTCTTCTTTGGAAACAGCATCTCACTATGTCACACTGGTTGTCCTGGAACTTGCTCTGTAGACCAGGCTGGCCTAAAACTCACAGAGATCCGCCTTCTTCTGTCTCCCCAGTGTTGGGATTAAAGGCGTAGACCACTTTGTGAAGATTATAGCAGAGTATAAGGAGCCATCTGGGGAGTGCCTTCACACCCACCCACTGCACTCCCACAGGCATTCAATGTGATGGGCCCTGCCAATCAGCTAGGGATGGATGGATGGATGGATTCCTCATATGTAGTTGGCCCTGGAGAAATAGATTATGTGATTCTGTGTATATGTCCTGGTCCTGCTTCCTGCCACACAGCCCCTAAAGCTCTTGGAATCTCTAAACTGATGTTCCCTTTCTGTATACTAATGAGTATACTAGAACCTCGGCCTCCAGCCTGCACAGAGGCTCTGGTAATCCTTATGCCGAAAGGACCTCTGGGAGGACATCCGAATAGCAACTCTACTTGCCATTAGAGTAACCCCATCTTTGTTATTAAGCGCCGTAGCAAAAGATTATAGTTTCAAATGTCTGTGTAACCTTCCTAATTTCTGAACCAGGTTGGCTGTGACCCTAGAATTTGGGAGGTAGAGACTGGAGCCATGGTTCAAGGCTGGCTTCATCACTTCAGTTCCAGTGTCAGCCTGGGTTACTTGAGACTGTCTCAAAAGAACAACAGACAGACGGGAGAGGCGGGACTCAGAGCAAATGCTGCTCTTGCAGTGGGCCAAAGTTCAGATGCTAGCAGTCATGCTGGGTGGTTCATAACCTATAACTCCAACTCCAGGGGCATCTGCTGCCTATAGCCTCCTTGGGCATTGCATTCCAGTGTACATACCCACACACAGACATACATAAAAATTAACTGAATAAATAAATAAATGAGAAAATTACAAATAAAATAAATCCTCCTTGTTTTTTTTTTCATGCCGAATGCTGTTTATTGAAGGAGGGAGGAGGTCTTAAATACAGACTTACAGCACAATGGGAGAACCCCGGAGCGCAGAAGTTCACTACCGATGTTTTACAATCTTGCATCCAAGCTGTTAATGCCCATTATGCAGGATACATAGACAAGGATTCCCTTAAGCATTCAGGAGGGTGGAACCCAGCAGGGAATTAGCATAGGGAGGATATTAAGGTCAACGTCAGCAAGCAAGGCAACAGTTACCCAAAATGGGGGCCAGGGACCTACAGGCCCCCCTTTTATTAAAAAATGATCTTCTGACTTAGGTTGTGTGGGACGTCAGCAGGTCACCTTACCCGTCATGGAGACACCTGCCCAGGCCACACAGGCACTCTGTCTTAGGTTGGTGAGCGCCCCCAGGCATTACCTGTCTCTGAATACTCATTATCATACAGGCTCAATCATGTGTGAGCTTCAGAGTCAACTGCTGCCAAAGATCTCAAAGTGGCACTGGGCTTGCAATCTGTGTGTTCAACACAGAAAAGACCAATAGAGGTCCTATCCCACCCATAGCCAGTAGGCTAAAGGCAACTGAGCCATTACCTTCCTTAACGAGCCTTACTGCAAATTGGAGTCCTTGTAAGATGGTATCCCAAAATGGAACTTGAGTTTATAAATTTATCATTTTCAAAGCCAATCGAAATGTATATAACTATTGAATTAAATTTATCATGCCCAATAGAATGAAAGATTAACTAACTGTGGTAGCTACTTTTGTTGCCAGGGTCTCCACTGTGCTAGCTGTAGTAAGCAATTATGAAATGGTAATCCCAGAAACAGTAGCAGTGGTGGCTGCCACTGCTATAACAGCAACAACGGCAGCGGCGATGTCAAATTCTCTTCTGGAGCGTGTGGACATCCACTGGCATGGACACAACTCCAGGAACATGAACCACCAAGGCCCATTTTTCTTGATCCCAGCACAACTTAGGCTGGCAGCTCTGCAAAAGAACAACTAAGAACCATAAAGAAAAAACAGGCAGCTCATAAGGAATCCTCCTTAATTTTGCCTTCAAAAGTTTCCCATTAAGCCAGGGAAATGACTCAGTAGGTAAAGTGCTTGCATTGAAAGCATGAGGACCTGAGTTCTAATCTCAAATACTCCTATTTAAAAAGTTATGTATAAGCCGGGCGGTGTTGGCACACACCTTTAATCCCAGCACTTGGGAGACAGAGCTGGGCAGAATTCTGTGAGGTCGAGGCCAGCCTGGTCTACAGAGCAAGATCCAGGATAGGCACCAAAGTTACACAGAGAAAACCCGTCTAAAAAAAAAAAAAAAGTTATATCTAGTAGGACACACCTTTAATCCCAGATAAATCCTGAGGACTTGCTGGCCAGCCAGTATAGCTACCCCAAATGGCTTCTGTCTCCAGGTTTATTGAAAGACTCTGTCAAAAATAAAGTGGAAGGCAGAGACAGGCAGATCTCTGAGTTGGAGGCCAGTCTGGTCTAGAGTGAGTTCCAGGACAGCCAGTACTACACAGAGAAACCATGTCTAGAAAAACAAAAACAAATAAGGTGGAAATAGCACTGTGGAGGCAGAGACAGGTGGATCTATGTGTTTTGGAATAACCTAGTCTACATACTGAATGCAGGCTACATGATGAGACCTTATCTCAAAAGATAAAAAAATAAAATAAAATAAAAGAAGGCTGGTGAGATAGCTCAGCGTTTAAGAGCACTGGCTGCTCTTCCAGAGGTCCTGAGTTCAATTCCCAGCAACCACATGGTGGCTCACAACCATCTGTAATGAGATCCAGTGCCCTCTTCTGGCCTGCAGGGATACATGCAGAAAGAACAGTATACAAAATAAATAAATAAATCTTTAAACAATAAAAATAAAAAGAAGGGACTGGAGAGAGGGCTCAGCAGTTAAGATGACTTGCTGTTCTTGCAGAGGACCTGAGTTCAGTTCCCAGCACCCACATTGTGACTCACAACCATTGTAATACCAGTAATTCCAGTTCCAGAGGATCTGATCTCCTTTCTGATCTCCCCAAGTATCTTGCAAGGAAAACACACACACCATACACACACACACACATACTAATAGTAAAAATAATTTAGAGGTGGGTAAGGAACCGCATTTAAAAAATTAACTAAGCTGGGCAGTGGTGGTGCACACCTTTGATTCCAGCGCTTGGGAGGCAGAGGCAGGCGGATCTCTGTGAGTTTGAGGTCAGCCTGGACTACAGAGCTAGTTCCAGGACAGCCAGGGCTACACAGAGAAACCCTGTCTCAAAGAACAAAAATCACTAAAATAAGGAGCTAGTGAGATGGCTTGGAGGTTAAAAGCACTGGCTGTTCTTCCAGAGGACCCAGGTTCAATTCCCAACATCCACATGGTGGATAACAATAGTCTATAACTCCAGATGCCTTCTTCAGGCCTCTGTAGGCTCCAGGCACACACAAACAAACAGGTAAAAGCACAACACCTAAACAGTAAATACAAGCTGGGCAGTGGTGTTACACACCTTTGATCCCAGCACTCAGGAGGCAGAGCCAGGCAGATCTCTGTGAGTTCAAGACCAGCCTGGACTACCAAGTGAGTTTCAGGAAAGGTGCAAAGCTACACAGAGAAACCCTGTCTCAACCCCCCCCCCCAAAAAAAAAAAACAGTAATAAATACTAATACTAATGTGAATTGGGCTAGATATAGCTCTGTTGGCAGAGAGCTTCCATAGCCAATACCAACACCAACAACAAATCGGAAAGAAAGTCCTCTTAGGCTCAGGAACACCATGAAAAAGAAAGAAGGCAGACAAGACTATAAGAGTTGAAGGCAGGGGTGGAATATCTGAATGCTGTCCTCCAGGAATGACATGGACATTGCCGTCTTGAATTCTCTGTGATTACCTGCACAAGATTTG